CCCTGGTACCTCTTGCTTCGGGCTATTTGGAAAGCAAATAAACAAAAACGCCTTAAAATTAACACCAAGTGTTTTCTCTAGCCATGCAAGAAACGCCGAGAGGAAGATGCTTCTGTGGAAACAATCACAAGATATTTTTCACCATTAGCAAAACCAGCGGATAAAGTGTTGTCACCACCAAAGCCCAACAATATATTGGATTATTTTAAAAAGACATCTGTAAGTGAGAAAGCTTCACCGCCAGTCATAGCTGGAGAAAATAAAACACAGTTGGATGCTGATGACAAATACTGCAACTCACCTTTGAAACAACCTTCCAAGCTAAGGAGGAAAGGGAAGAGAATTAATTTAAATAATAAACTAAGGGAGATGAAAGACTCTGAAAATGATTGTGTAATAGCAATTTGTAGTGATGACAGCAGCAGAGAAACAACAGGACCAAGACAAGGTGCTAATGACTTTACTGCCACGTGTACTTCAGCTGACCAAAACTGTGCAAAGGAATTAGCAGAAGGTAGTCTGCAAAGTGAGAACATCTCAGACAATGTCATCAACAGAAAAAATGCTAAGAAAGTTGGCTCTGAAATAAATGGAATGAAAAATAGCGTAAGAAAATCAAGGAAAAGGAAGCACAAAGTAAATATGGACTTGTGTGAAAGTCTTTCATCTGAAAACCAGCTGAACGAAAATCCTAGAAAGGAGCCTAAACACCAAAAAAAAGTGGTATCTCCTAAAATAGAGTGTGAGGTCACTATTAGTGACTCAAGTGTTGACGTTCAGGTGGATGATAAACCAGCCCAAGTGAATGAGAGTATAATAACCGTGTCATTTGAGGACTTCTTGAAGAGTCAAGGAGAAGATAGCATAGATCATGATGGAGAAGGCACAACACTGGACAATTCTGTTACTGCAAATGAAGCTGTCAAAACCGATAGCATTAGTGATCCCGAAAAGTGTGAGGAACAACAGCTGCCGCTTAAAACAGTCACTGTCCTTGCACAAGTTCATTCTGTTCCCCCCAAATCACCTTCTCTACATATGGAGCAAAAAGCTTGCAGGAAACTGGCTTCTATTTTTTGGAAGCAAAAAGGTTGTGTGGGGGAAAAAGAGAGTAGGCTGCTCCCCTCGGAGAGTGAACAAACCGAACAAACGACCCAGAAAAGAAAATCCAATGTTGTTATTGAGGAAGAGGATTTGGAGTTGGCTGTGTTAGAGACTGCAGGATCAGAATCTTCCAGGGCAAAATGTTCTGCAGAAGAAAGGCATCAGTTTATGAAAGCCTTTAGACAACCACCATCCGATGTAATAAAAACCGGAGTTAAAAAAGCACCTGGAAAACTAAAACAAACCCTTACAAAGCCTTCGAAAGAAGGTGCAGGAGGAGGTGACCTTGCTTCAAATAAGGGATTAGGAAGTGAAATAACAGAAGATTATGTGGACAAGCATTCACCTTGTAGCCCTGAAAACAATAGAACTAAAAACAAAAGAGCTAAGAAGCTGCAGAAGAATGGGAAGGGACGAAAGAAGGCCTTGAAAAGTAAGGACATGAGTGTCTCCAATACTAGTGATCCTAGCAAAGATGAGTGTTCAGAGGCCAATGCTCACACTAAGGACGATGCCTTAGGTGTAAGAATTTCACCAAGTCCAAAAGTGAGTGAGTTAAGGAGGAGTTCAAGACAAAAGAAAATCGAAACATCCAAAACAGTTACACCAAAAAAAAACAGAATTAAAAACACTCTTTGTGAAAATGAATTAAGTGATAGTCCTTTACAGACCTCCACACCAAAAGCAAGCAAGAAATCCTTGAAGAAAAATAATGTCTATAAGGCTGAGGTGATTACAATACCCTTTGAGGCAAATAGCCCAATAAGGTAATTGTTTTGGAATATATTCTGTCTTCTTGCACTGTCTTTTCTTGCAGATATTTTAAGAGTAAAACATAATAAAATTTGTGGAACACATGCCCATGTTGCATGAGTATCAACTGTGTTGGGTAATAGTATGGTGGAACCAGACTTGGCACTAGGATTGTGCTTGCATCGAAAGGCCAACATGACAAATCTATGTGAGGGGTTTGTTTCTTTCTGTATCACTGTATTATATAAAGGCTTTAGGATATGATATTTAAAGAAACATTTTCCTTTATTAAAAGTAATACAATAACATGTTTCCTTATTTAGAATGAGGTTTACACGGATCAATGCAAGTAAAAAGTCAAATAAAGCTGAAGCAATGAAAAATGAAGATCTGGCATCCAAAAATACAAAGGTAATTTATGTAACATTTTAAGCGCGTCATATACTATACATATGTAGTTATATTAATGTTCAGGATTGTGTGATAGTGGAATGAAGTTAATTGGCCTCTCCCCTGGTAGGGCTCTCCATTCCTTTTGAGAAGTGTGTGATTATTTTTGGCTGGATGCTTAGTTTGTTGCAGTTTGCT